GGAAGAATTTTTCAGTAGTGGGTACAACACTAGAACGTAGATGCATCATTCTGAGAATTTTTCTCAGCTAGCATGAATATGTTAAGGGAGCTTGTGATAGCAAAAAATGACTGGCCTGTATTTCAAATCATAAAACCTGAACCTAATCTTGAAGAGTTGGACCAAATGATATAATGGACAGTTCAGTAGAAATATTCATTTCAGCATGAAGTCAGGTATATTCATCCTTGCACTTGCCTTGCAAACTTGCCATAGCAGTGTTTGAGATCTCCAGCATAGGATATACTTGACATCTTCCAAGCTTTCCTGGAAGATTAATTGAGGATTCTTTGCAATCCTGATAAATGTTGCATTCCAATACCTCATGATGAATCTTAAATCTCTTGCATTTTAAGTCCCAGTAATATACCATCACTCAGGCCCCTTATTCAAGAATCTTGGTGTGTTTGAGGTTTTGTTATGAATAAAACTTGATATTTATTGGCAAGATTACCGATGAGATAGGGATCTGCAGCCATATTACAGGTAACTTGCAGAAAAAAAAAAGACCTAAGAGAAATGATTGCCTTTAATCTACATTTCCCAACTTTTTGATTCTCATTCCTCCTGCGAGCCTTCACCTGTAGTTGCTATTATAAAAGCATCCTTGTTCTCTCTTCTGTCTCTCTTCCCTCCCATATACATAACTAAATCAGTCCCCCAACAGTTGAATTATACAACTCACATTCTCTTAAGCACATCCACTAATCCTAGGACGCTATTCCTCAAACTCCATAGCAGAGACTGTAATAGCATTTTGCCACCCATGGGAAGCTCCTAGCTATAAACTAGGGCATTCTGAGTGGTGGCATCCAGCATTTATACAATATGTTCTGTAAAGCCTAACAATCTTTCTATAATACAAGGGAGCGTAACATTTTTGCTTTTCTTTTTTATTTCATATAAAACTTCTATTAAGCGCTAGACCCTGCAGTTATAAGAGAGGAATGTTCCTTCTGGTAAAATACAAGCTTGTTGTTATCAGCTCTTCACGACAGCCAGCTTGGTGTGTAGAGGCTGAGGCATCAGGCTAGAAACCAGGAGACGGTGAGTTCTAGTCCTGCCTTAGGCATGAAGCCAGCTGGATGACTTAGGCCAGTCACTCTCTCTCAGCTCTAGGAAGCAGGCAAGGGCAAGAAAAATCTTGCCAAGAAAACTGCAGGGACTTGTCCAGGTAGTATTTGAGAATCGGACCCGACTGAATGGATTTTTTTTTTTAAAAAGCCACTCTTCATAGTGTTTTAATACTTTATTTAAATGGCTTAGAGACATGTTTATAATGAGTCATGATGGAAGCTTCAGCATGCTACTGCAGGACTACTTAAAATCAATGAATATCTTATCCCCAAGTTTCATACCGCATTGCTGAATCAAACAAATTTTCTGTGATATCATAAATTCCAGTGCATGTGGTTGCGAATTTGTACGCTTCACTATTTTTTACACTGGGAGCCCCTTCTCCCTCTCCCTCTCTCTCTTTAATAAGATATTGGGTCTGGCCCAGACTGGGATCATAAGGGGAGGTGTAAATCCCCTTATCCCATGTTAGGATTCTAATCAGAATTCTAATCTCCCACTCCTATTACAATTTACTTATAAAAAAACATTGAATTATGAGGATGTGGTCACATCTAACCTGGTCCTCGGGTAATACCGTATGGACAGTACTGAGCTAAATGAACTGATTCGAAAACATCTTCAAATGGGACTGTTAGATTCTAATATCAGAGACAGTTTCCTATTAGGTGAATCATCGGCTGTCACTGCACAAATAAGGCCATTTTTCATAAATGTGATGACATTCTAATAGTGTACCCAGATTCAGGAGGTGCAAGTATTAAACAATCAGCATTCATTCATTCATTCTGCAACAAATTGGAACATGTCAGAAGAGGGAACAGAGTTATTCTTTCTGCTTAATCTGACATCACAGGCCATCTTCATTTTTTTTTTTTTTAGTTTAATTTTATCTTGTACAAACAAGATTGCGGAAGCCAATGTGTTCAGGCAATACCATTAAGCAGTAATGGTATTTTTGTAACTAAGTTACAGTAGACATGAATAAACGTTCCAATAGACATGGTCCAAAAGACATGAATAAATGTTCTTGGGCAGAATGCCACCTAAGTTGCCAGCTAACACTTTCATATTTTGTAATGCCATTTTATATTTGACTCAGGTAGGGTTCTCTTCCTTCCTAGCAGTTGATGCCAATGAAGTTATGCTATGCTACCCAGCTGAATTGAAGCTAGAAAACTCTTTCTGGAAAAGAATATGTAAACAGTCTTCAAAAAGCAGTTAATTTTGCTTGTTCCTTGGTGGGGCCCATATTATAGATCAATCTTCTTAACATTTAGAAGAGGGCTTAAAATATATGATTCATGTCAAATAAAACATAAGTTAACAAATTACTTTATTCAAGTCTTTGGGATGGCAGGTAACACTTGCATTTTCCCTTAGGTAAGAAATTATCCAATTAGAGTATATGAAACAAAAATTCATTGGCCCAGAAGAGCTTGTCGTGGATTTCTAGAGTCAATATTTTGTACCTTGGTAGACTGGTATTTTTGGTTAAAGGTCATATGCAATTCATGAGACTTAAACTTTAAATAATGGGCCAGAGGGAGCTCTGAGATGATCAACTGTACATTAAACAGACTCCATTGTTTATTTTGAGTTCACTTATAACATCATGGACACCTCCATGGTTTCTTGGCAGCAATATGCAAATGGTTTTCTACTGCCTTCTTCCAGGGTATTTTTCTATCTTCCCAATATAGCCTTGAGATTTTCTGGTGGTCTCTTATCCAAGTGCTGACCTGGCCTGATCCTTCTTAGCTTCTGAGCCCAGACATAGTCAGCTAGATATTCAACTAGATATCTAAGATATTTATTATTTCCACGCTACAGAGAGTTTGTTGGGGATTGTTTCTTCAATATGTCTCTGCAATTTTGTTTTTAATAAGCTATTAAACTAAATAAATATAATGATCAGTATGATCCAACGTGAATATAATAAAACCAGGAGATTGTGGGGAAATGAGCATGGGAAAGAAATGGAAAGAAATGTCTTCTTTGCCTTAACACACAGAGAAATACAAAGGGAAAGATCATTATTTTATGTACCTTCTGGGCAAGAACAGCTAAAAGAAAGTAGCATAATCCTATTTTGGATATAGTTTTATATTATGCCCCTTCAGTTATTACTAGCCACATTATTTAGAGTATCTGTAGGCACTGTACTAACCTATACCTTCACCAAGCCTACCACTGTGAATCATCTTGTAATCCTATTTTTAGTAGTTGTTGAATTCAACAGTATTGTTGAGTTTTTATGGCAACCAATGGACCATTTAATAAATATGGATGAGTCTGGAACTATAAACTAAAATAGTGTAGGCTGACTTGATCTTAGCAAAGGAGTACTGAAGTAGATTCTCATGCAATATACAATTATCCTCCCAGCTTCTGTGTGTGCTTTTCAGTTTGTAGGAGCAAAATAATAAACATATTTGATTTATGCTGCAGCTAGTATGGTGCAATGAGTAGGATTCTGGACTAGGACTGGTCCAGGATTATGTCCTCATGAAGCTGACTGGGAGGGTCTGGGCCAATTATACCTCTCCATCCAATTTATCTTTACAAAGGTGGTGGAGCGGAAAACAATTGAAGAGGAGAATGAAATGGTTTTCTTTTTTAAAAAAAATTATTTAATTGTAGCATATCACAGGGTTCTTATTGTGGGGAAAATAGGAAGAGGGAGCATTATGTACATTACCTTGAGTTGTACAAATTAAAGATGGGATATTTATTAAATAAATAAATATAATGAATCAGGTGATCAAGTTAGGGCCTTTTCACACATCCATTGCATATTGTATCTACAGTTTTGAAGCCATGAATTTATCATGGGTAGAGTATCATCATGCTTTGCAGAACGTTATGTTTCAGGCATTGAAAAATAGGGGGAATTCACAACACAAATATTCCCATTATACCTGCCCCATCAACATGACTCAAATGACAACAGTCTTCTCATAGATGTCTTTCATAGATACCTATTTATGGAAACAAGGTGCATGACCATATTGTTGCTAAGAAAACTACATGGATGTATCCATGAAGTCACCAAGTGTCATGCTCAACTCAAAGAAGACTTTGTCTTTATACAAGCCATTCAACTGTATACAACTGTATGCAAATTGGCATGGAGACTAATGAGTATGCAATTCACTGAAAGGCTTTCCCCCTGCAATTGTTTGTGCTGCATCTGTGGATGTGCAGAGGATATCCTGATGTTATCTGAATGACATTGACATGCTTTTCAGGAACATTGACATGGTGAGCACATCTAACTTTATATGCCAGAACAGGTCCTATGTATTTATCAGGTTCTTTCTAACACTGCTTAGTCTCTCTCTATATATTGTGTTTGTAAGTTCCATATTGCCATGCTTCACCTTTACTGCTTACCTGGGAAAATCTTATTGACCTGTACATATGGGATATTTATACTGAAATATATTATTATTTATTTAAATTTATTGTAGCTGCCCAACTCCAATGTACACACACTGAGTTCTGTAAAAACATTACATAAAATGTTTGATGGGCCGGCATTCTCTCTTTGGAATACCTAATCAGATGCCTACAGTGCATTCATTCAAGAATATCTGATTTGCATTCCACACACCTATGACCAAGAGGGGATTAAAAATATGAGAAGAATACTTCCATTAAATTTCAATTTTGAATTTTACTATTAAGCCTCGTTGCTGAAGCTCAAGAAGTGGACCATCTCTTTTGTTTATGATAGAAGGAAACTACCCCAGAAGTTTCTTTAAAATAACATTATTTACCTTGCCATTTTAAAGCAGGATCTCCTTAAAAATGCTTGAAAAAGAGATACTGAATAAATGTATATGAAATACCATCTCCTTAATAATAACTCTCTCTCTTAGGACTATACTTCTTCTGTGGATGCTGAGATCCCAGTTTTTCATGCCTGTTGCCTGTGATGGATGTGAGGTAGGAAATACTGTGCAATTTTGTTTTGTTTTGTTTTTGCATAGGAGATCAATAGCAAAATGGTAATAGAATTTGTGCAATGCACCTTCCATCTTCTCCTGTTCTCCTGTAATGGAGCTCAGGGCAGAATAGACCAGAAAATTGGAATTTCTTTCAAGTCTCGTTGTTTAGGGTTATTCAAGAGGACAATTTAAGAAGCCCAAGTTCAGTCATAGGGCATGTGCCAAGCAAAGATGGCTCTGTCCCAACTGTAGCAATTCTGTACCCTGCAAAATACAGAAAGACATTTGGCATTTTCTTCATAGTATCATTGACTAAACACAAGGCACATTCCATATCCTCCCTATACTTTATATGCAGTTTATCAATGCAGCACTCTAGTCTGTTTGTTCCTTCAATTATATCTGCTGCTTCTGCAGCTCAGTTTCCACTATAGTATAGGTCGGTATTTCTTAACCTCAGCAACTTTAAGATATAGATTTCAACTCTCAGAATTCCCTAGCCAGCATGGATGGGGCTGATTGCAGAATTCTAAGAGTTGAAGTCCACACATCTTAAAGCTGCTGAAGTTGAGAAACATTGGTATAGGTAATAGAACAGTGAACTTAAAGACATAGCTACTGCTATTCTGAGAAGCACTGATATGTTGCTCACTTTTTACCAGGTAATAGGAAGGAGAGGAAAATGAACTAGAAGGGGAAAATGGGCACAGCCTGAAGAACTCTGACTTTCCTAGTAAATCTGGAAAATTGATAATTTGGGCAATTGGTGAGATCGAGCTGAAAATTAGCATATATGTTGGGCAATCCACATATGCAGGAGAAAAATACTGAAATGATTACTTCTTGATTAATTCAACTTGTTTGAAATTAACTTTTGCTGAAATATGCCACTGCAACCATATTATTGAGTTACACTCCAGCAAAACAGGTACTAATAACAAAACTAAATTTCAGTCCCAATTTATTTTTATCTATAGGTATAGTTTAAAACAAAATGTATTGAACAAAATGTATTGAAATGAAAATGCTACAAACTGATCCCTTTTGCTTTTACGCAGAAAAGGTAATATGTGGTTTAAGAAGGCTAATTTATATATACTTTTAGTTGTATAAGCTGAGATGGAGGGGGGAATTATGTATTAATTGCAATTTTCAGCCTTTTAGCTAGTGATTGAAGTAAAATGATAGACTGATAAAGATATTTCTGTTATTTCATTTTACCATTGATTCTGAGAACTACTCATATCAGTCTGAAATATACACCAGCTGTTTGGTTTGACTTAGGATTTCACTACCTCACTAATAGTTTTGTAAGGATGGAGTGAGGTGGGGTGAGGAGAAGGAACACTTAGTAGGACCTTAAGACTGTGGGGTGTCCACTGCTATTTCTAATTCAGAACTCTTTAAACATCTATACTGCAAAAATGAGAATAAAGCCCATTGTATGATTTGTATGATTGAAAAACAGATTGTGAGAATGAAGGTGAGAATAAAGCCCATTGTATGATTATGATGCATGAGCTACATTGTAAGAAGTATCTTGACAGTAGGTATATTTTCTTGTTTAGAGATATGCCATATTTAAGTTAAAATAAATGTATGCCTGTAAAGAAAAAGAAAAGCTAGCTGGTCCTAAAATATTACAAAGATCAAAAGGATAAACATCATATATAATACTGAGATCTAGGGAAGACATTCTGCGTGTGTGTTTGTGTGTGTGTGTATTCATTCATTCATTCATTCATTCATTCATTCATTCATTCATTCATTCATTCATTCTGCTTCTACCTTACTCTGGACATTTGGATAGCAGTCTTTCTCCTCTGACATACTGTATGTATCAGATATAAATGAGACCATTGCAATACATGTTTTCCCAATGGGGACAGCAGCAAACAGGTGGTACAGATTCCTAACAGCAGATGGAAGCAAAAGGTCTCCGCTAGTTTTTGATTTCTGCACCTTCAAACTAAGACAAATTGCAGTGTGAGACCCAACTTCTAGTATATAGGTAGTTCCCAGTTTAAGAACAAGTTCTGTTCCCAGGGTCTGTCCTTAAGTTGAATTTGTATGTGAGCTGGATACTGTATAAGTAGTATTGTGTGATGATCTCGAACCATTGTGTATTTAACTCAAATCATTGTGTATTTTACTCAAATTTTGCTACAGTAGGCTCCATTCTTAACTATGGGTCGTCTGTAAACTGGGCGTTCTTAACCTGGGGACTACCTGTAATTCATTGCTTCCCATCCTATTACAGATTTCAGGTGATAAAGATGAACATTTTTTGATTCCAGCCAACAGGAATTTTAGCCTAGGGGCTCATCATCCTATAAAGATATTTTGCTCCTACAGACTCTTTCATAACAATCTCTTCTAACTGCAGTTAATTGGCTTAGCCTCAGTAATGAGTAAATAGACCTGATGGTGTTCATCCAGGCAAATCTAGAGTTGAATTAAGAGTTCTAAAATACAGTACTTCCAGCCTGGAATTGCCCCAAGACTAGGTGTATCTGATCCAAAGATAAGTCTTAGCTCTACATTTAGTGTATGCATTTAGTGTGTGCATACCTGTTGAATTGACTGAGAAATCCGAATCAAATTATAATTGTTGAAATTGTAGAAATATACATCAGACTGCAAATAAGAGTGAAGACACACAATATTTTAATGTTCCCTTAAATGAAAATTAGATTCTGAGCAAGAGATAAGAAAATAGACTAGACCAATACACTTCTTGTTAATTTGCAAGGTTTTTAAAAATGTGGATGACTTTTTTTTAAAAAAAAGTTGCAGCCTGAAGATATACAGTCTGTTCTGCTCTGCACCTTCTATTCCATGTGGAAATAGGCTACATATGTGATATGTGATTATCAACTTCCCAGTTCAGTGCAGTTGTTATGGTGTTGGACTGAGAGCAAGGAGACCTAGTCCACCCTAGTCCACCCTCAGCCACAGAAACTCAGTGGGTGACTGTGGTCTAGTCTCAGTCTATCAGCCCAGTTACCTCACAGTGGTGTTGTGAGGAAAAATGGGAGTAGAGAATGGTATATATGCTGCCTTGAGTTTCTGATGGAAAGGCTGGATATAAAATAAATAAATGTTGACTTCTGCTCTGTTAAGAATCAGTTAGATGCTACATAAATATGTGTTCCTATTAACAATTGCCAAGAAAACAAACAGTATTTGTCAAATTGTCAAATACTATGGGAAGATAGTAATCCCAACAATTGAGTGTTAATATTTTCTGAATTTAGTCTTGTATATTTTGCCATAAAATAAAACCCTTGTAATCACCTGTGATGCTGTTAAAACATTTGGGAAATTAACTTCTTTGTATGTTAAACTTATTCACAGAAATGTGAATCCACCATTCTTTAAAGCATAGCTTTAAAAAATTCTTTTAAAAAGAGTTGTCTCTCTTGTTGGCTACTTTATGTTTAACAGCAATTATTATGACATTAAGAGGGACAAAAGAAAGCAAATGAATCCACTTGATATATGAACAGTTAATAGACAGTTTTATATGCTTTTGTATTGATCACATCTGTGTGCATTTATAGCATTTTAATGACCAACATGAATCAGTCTGCATGTAAATTAGACAGCTGGTTTATAGAAGAGTAATTAAACCCCAGCTTCCATGTAGTGCATGTACAGAAATGAGTGACAGCTTTGATGACAGGATCCAGTACACTTAGGTAAAATTATCGCCACATCAGGAAGGATTTCTAGCAATGTGAGAAAATGAGATGCAAATATTATCTGGTGTAGTGAGAAGGCATCTTTGCTGCCAGGGACAATAGAATTGAGAAGATAGTTTGAACAACAGATACTTATGGCCCTTTTTAAGAGCAGTTGAGAAAAGCCCAGGATTTGACCCATGGCTACTTGATACAGCTACCTGGCTGAATCTAAGCAGAACAGAATATGACCGGCCACAGGAATTACTTAAGGGACTGCTGTTTGCCACTTTGTTCCATGTAGTAAAAACAGAGAAGTATACATGTGCCAAATATTATAGTAACATTTTATATAATGAGTATAATGTTCAAAACATGTTATCTAGATTATTTCATAAATACCCAAGCTAGATATAGATAATCAGACAACAGTTCTGAATAGAGGTTCTTCTGCCAATGTCAGCTGACAGGGAGGAAAAGCTTTTAGCACTGAAGTTTTAGAGAAGAAGGGAATACAAAGCACACTGGGTAGAAGAAGAAAATGTTGGAGGAAGGAGGGAGCAAATTATAAATTTCTTCAAAAAATCCAAACTAGTACAGTGAGACTCTGAAATCATGGTTTAAAAAGAATGAATACAGTGATATGTTCACCTGCACTAACCTTACAAAAATAGAAGGGACTGGTCAAAGTCTGTTATAATGTGGATAAAAGAATCAAAGAAGGGGAAATGAGAATTTTTTTTCCACATCATTAGAAACTTGTGGGCTACTTCCACATAAGCTCACATTCCAAAAGGGTGCAGTTAACAATGCTTTTAAGGTAGGGGGGGAGGGGGGGAGAATCAAACTGTGGCTTAATGAATTGAGATGCGTGGCATACAAATTTAATAAATACATTATACCTTCACCTGCACTAGCCTTACAAAAATAGAAAGGACTGGTCAAAGTCTGTTATAATGTGGATAAAAGAATCAAAGAAGAGTAAATGAGAGATATATATAGAAAGAGTAGGAATTACTGCATGTGCACAAGCCAGTATAGAATTCAGAATAATTAAAGATAAAACTTTGGAAATAAAGTGCTGCTTCCAAGACTGGATTATATTTCTTCAGACATTTTGATTCCTTTTGAAATGTGAGATGTCAATTTTCTTACAAAGCTACCTTTTGCAAAGTCAATTAAGTTCAAGGGCCAGTACTACATAACATTGTAGTATACGTGCAAGAACCTGTCTTCACACACTAGATAATATATAGGCATGAAAATTCAACAATACAAATTTGCTGAACA